AAAGTTGATAAATAAATAAAAAATGTTGTATTGTTCGATACATATGCGTACCGAACCGAAAGCACTGTATCGAACGGTTCAATATCGATACGAGTATTGTTGCACCGCTACTATCTTGGCCCCAGAAGGATCCTACAATAAGGTTATTAATCTCAAGAGTTTCACTTCCTGGACAAATAAAACAAACTCAATGTGAATGCCATATATTTATGAAATTTGAATATTAATTTTCTTGTATACCTTGTTCGATGGTTTTTTCGTATGTTTTCAAGTTGAACAAATATCTGTTGGACAGAAATTCTTTAAATATGATCACATTCACCCAGACTGTTTTTACTTGTTTTCAAGTTGTTAATGTTATGACATTTTGCGCAGAAAAAGACACTCATGTTGCTTCAGATGCATTTTCACTACTGGAAGTATTTCATCTAATTTAAGCTGAATAGTTGAGCAGCACATGCAGGAGGTAGAATACATGACACCCATACGCTTACTGTAAGTTTACAAGACAATGACCTGCTTTGTTCACACATGGACTTAATTTGATATCAAACAGTCTTTATGCTAGAGAGTTGGCAGGTTAAAATCCATTTACTGGCTGAACTAAGTGAGTCACACATTTGGATTCCTATGTGTAACTCTGCCCGGGAATGTGCAGTGCATATGTGAAAACAGCTTTGCATGCAAGGACCTGTGACCTTGTCTTTTTGACCATAACTCAAGAATTCCTAAATTAATGACAATGGCAACATTTTCCAGAAACGTAAAACAGGATAAAATGATGAAGAAATTTGCAATTTTGACCAAGAGGTCAAAATTGTTGCATTGTAATATTACGCAAAAACACTTTTTCACAGCGTTGAAATAAGGGAGACTGGGATCATATTTTATTTTGGATACTGAACTGGTGACAATAATCTCTGCTGGCAGATCTCTATATAAGAGACAGGACAGACAAGGGTGTAAATTACAATACTGAAAAAAATACGAAACAGCAATTCTAGTAACTGAACTCATACTTATATTGACTTTTCTGCTCCATTTGAGCAGTCAAAGCACTTTTAGAAATGTGAAGGTAGAGACTCCAGTAACCATAGTTAATTGTATCCCAGGACACTGGAGACAATTTGATACTGCTGTCTAAAAGTAAGCATATATTCAGTGAGATTGCAAATCCCAATGAAAGTAATGACACCCATTTGCATCAATCGGGGGTCACTAAAATTAATATTGAGCCTCATGCCAGGAGTGACATGGTTAGCTACATGTTCTCCTTAAAATGCTGGGTGTCCAAAACATGATGTGGGCTTCATAGTCAAATGGAACCAGGAAGCAGAGGATGTAGGATGAATACGTTAGCTTAAATGAGTCCTATTGACTGTCAGAATCCTCAAAGCTAAGGCCGAGGAGGAGGAGTGGCTGCAATCTTTCACTCCCTGTTATTAATCAACCAAAGACCCAGGAAACTCAAAAAACAGCTTTATTTGTTATCTGTCATTCACCTCATAGTTTCTATCTGATTTCTCAGACTTTTTTTTAAATCTGAGTTAGTGCTCCGTTTTGATAAAATCATTATTATACATGATTTTAACACACATATAGATGGTGAAAATGAAAGTCTCAACATAAATGTTATTTTTTATTAGACTTAATTAACTTCTTTCAAAATTGAAATGATCGTGCAGCTTCGCAATATTTTCTGAAAATTCTCTTTTGTCTGATGTTTCTTTCTGAAAGTGCTTTTTCTAAGTTTAAGGAGGTGATTCATTCATTATCATGTTCAATACATAAATTCTGCTTCCACAGAGATCATCATATCATTCATAGTGTTACACTCTCAGTATGTATGATTCTGAATACTGTGGCTCCTCTAAAAAGAAAGCCTCAAATCAGAAGTGCTTGACTCCATGGCACAACTCACAACCGTGCGCTTCTAAGCAGATAATGCATAAACTGGAGTTGTGACAGAACTGTACTTATTTAAAAGATCTTCATTTGGCCTGGAAAACAACTTCAATAAATGTTTTGATTAAAAATTAAATTTTTAAGAAAAAGGATGTGCCATTAAGTACAGCAACTTTCAAAATTACTGATATTGGACTCTTTATTTAGACGCTTTCTGTCCAATTGATCTTTCTGAGTTAACTTAATGTCTTCCTCTAAACCATCACTGTGACTTTTAACTGATCATTTCCAAAGGAATAGTTTATTTGAAGCATTTTAATCAGGATTTAAAATACATCATAGCACAGAAACAGTACTAGTGAATGTTGTACATAATGATCTTCTTACGGCTTCTACATTACACAAATATGAAGAACTCCCTTTATTCATTTGCACAATATCTCTAATATTTAGAAACAACCTGTCTCAAATTGATGCTGAAAAGCTTGTCCATGCATTTATTGCTTCTAGGCTGCACTAACTTCAGCTATCAGGTCCCTCTTCTTTGGAAATGACAAACATGCTGTCTACTTTTAAGATTAAACTTAAAACTTTCCTTTTTGATAAAGTATATAGTAAAGGCTAGATCAGGTGACCCAGAACCATCACTAAGTTACGCTGCAATAGGTTTAGGCTGCTAAGGTACTTTTCTTGATGCAATGAGGATGTCTTCTTTACTCATCTATTTTTTACTCCCTGTGTGTTTATACACCAGTACTGTATGTAATCATTAGTAATTCATGAACTCTGGCTCCTTTCCACAGGACACAGCAGATGGCTGCTCCACCCTGACACTGGTCCTGCTGCAGGTTTCTTCCTGTTAAAACTGACTTTTTCCTTCTCACCGTTGCTTGATCATAGATACATATCTAATTGTTTGGGTTTCCTCTCTAATATTATAATGTCAAATTGCATTGAAATGGAATCAAATGTCTTTACCCATTCATAACTTTCTTTCTATGCTTAAGTACTTTTAACTAACTCACACACTGGTGGGTGCATCTGGGACAACTCGGGGTTCAGTATCTTGCCCAAGGATACTTGGACATGCAGACCAGATGAGGCAGGAATCAAACCACTGACCTTTTGCGAACCACTCTAGCTTCTGAGCTACAGCGACTACTCTTAAAACATATGTATTGACTAGGGGTGCAACAACACTCGTATCAATATTGAACCGTTCGATACAGTGCTTTCGGTTCGGTACGCATATGTATCGAACAATACAACATTTTTTATTTATTTTATCAACTTTTCTTCTGACGATGCTGTCTGTGTTGAGAGCTCACTGCACTGTCCACCTGTGCAGTGAGCTCAGGTGGAGTTCACTGTGCAGATCCACTGAGCGCAGCGCTAGCGCTAGCGCAAGCTAGCAAGACAGAAGCTAAGCTCGTTGCAACATGGCAACTGCCTCAACGCTACCCGAAATTGAACCTCCCCCACCATCATTCAGATCTGGCGTTTGGAACTATCTTGGTTTTCATGTGAAGCATGACCCTGATGGACAAAAGTAAAACAGTATGTCAGATGTGTCACGCAATGCTCAATTACATGGGTGGGAACTAGTGCGTTAGCGCAGTTAGCTCGTTAACGTGTTGATGCCAAAGATGAGTGATTTCTCGATCAGATAGATTTTTTTTTTTATTATGTCGTTTCAGCAACATTACATTTAAAAACTGTACTTCTGAGTTAAAATATATATCTATAATTTTAATAAATGGGAAATTAAAAAGGCATGAACATTTTTTTGTATCAAAAAAATATCGAACCGTAACACCAAAGTATTGAACCGAACCGTGAATTTTGTGTATCCTTGCACCCCTAGTATTGACAGCAGCAAAAGGTGTCATATAGCAAAAAAAAAAGCTGCTGGTTTAAGACTGTGCTGTTTGTGTTGTTAGACCTGAAAACATCATTTTTGCCTCACACCACTTCTCTATGGGGGAATTACTCGTACGTGTTATAAAGCCTAATATATGTTTTTATGTCACCAGAAGGCTTTTTGCATAAACCCTTCAGTCCTTTTAAATTTCATAAATCACAAAACGAACTACAAATCCCTGCTCAAAATCATCGCAGATGATTGGTTGCGGCTCAGTTAAACTCCACTGTGCATGTCTGCATGTGGCTCTTCTATCACGTCAATCAATTCGGTTAAATCCGGACCAATCAGGTCCGGGGGTTTCCCTTGGTGGGCGGGACTGTAGTGCTTCCTCACACAGCAGGCTCGTTTCCTAGACGTTGCTAACAACCTGCTGCCTGCAACTTTCGCCTGTCTCCTCGTGCACTGTCGTTTTCCAGCTGAGGGGTGTTCGATATGTGCGCGAGGATGCAGCCGTGTCCACACTGAGAGTCCCCCTCAGTTCCGTGCCGGCTGCATGGTGCTCCGTGTCTCTCTGCCTGCTTTCTGACGCTTGAGGTTGCAGTCTGGCCTCCAGCCGCGACTGCGAATTAACTTCATTGCTCAGCGTCGCCTTGCTATGTTTATTTTATAAAGATGGCGGTGAAGGGGACACTGTAAACTAAATGACTGTCAGAAACATCGCCTCCATTTGTAATATGGTGAGTAACTCGCTGCTTTTCCGTGTTGATATCGATCCGCTTGCAGGCACTGTGCTGAACCTGTGTGTGTGTGTGTGTGTGTGTGTGTGTATATGTGTATGTGTGATGAGTCGCCTCCCACCTGCACCCAGAGAATGTGCACACTGCAGGGTTTTTTTTAAACGAGTATACACAGTAGTTTAAATCGTGGCCCCATACTTTAGTTAGTTGTCGCTCAGACAGGGCCCCTTTTGTGCGCCTTTGCACGCTGAAGCTTGCCAGTGTTCTGACAAACCATCCTCCTTTGGCAAAACGTCCTACCGTAAGTAGTTTATGCACATTTCTGCTGTCACAGAGTAATTCCACCACAAATTTAACTAGGTATGACGGTTTGCAACTTAACTTTGCCCATCACAGTATGCTGTAGCTTATATTCATAAAGCCAGGACGGTTTGCCACTTCATTTTACCCGTTAAAGTATGTTTGTAGGTCACATTCACAAAGGTAGCATGGTTTGGCACTTCATTTTACCCATCAGAGTATGTTTCTAGATCTTATTAACAAAGGTAGGACGATTTGCCACTTAATTTTAGCTGTTAAAGTATGCTTGTAGGTCACATTCACAAAGGTAGGACGGTTTGCCACTTAAATTCGTGTTGTGCCCATACGCAGAAACAATGGGTAGGATGGTTTGTCAGGTAGGATGGATTCCCAGAACACCTGGAGCATTTTCATTGTGTGTTGCATCCTGGCAAGACAACACAATGTACAGTTTGTATAGTTGTCACCGGTGATTGACAAGAGGGATGGGGGGGAGCGTGCTGCCTTTGACAGCTTGGTGTGATTGCATAATGTGGTGCTGCAGCAAAGGACCGGTTACATCCTGGTAGCATAGAGCAGGAATCTGCACTAATCTGTGCTCCTGGTGTGTTCAGGGGCAGTGAAGAGTGGGTAAGAACAGACTTAAACGGCTCTGCCTAATGCCAGTGGCCTTTGCTTTATTTAGACTAGATGCTAATGTGAAAAGCCTGCAGTGTCAGTCAGAGCTGCTGGAGTTCTTAGATTGTACAGACTGATATATTAATCCATATCTCATCAGGATGTGTGGTGTTTTTCTTTTGTTTCTATATATATTTTGTATCTATCTATCGATCTATCTACACATATATATAGTTCAGTATTATTTATAGAGCACAAAATCACAATACCAGACACCTCAAGGCACTTTATATTGTAAGGCAAAGACAGTATGAGCACTTGGTGACAATGGGAAGGAAAAACTCTCCTTTAACAGGAAAAAAACCCTCTAGCAGGAGCAGGCTCATGGAAGGGCAGCCTTCTGCCACAACGTGTTGAGTTCAGGGAGGAAGACAAGACAAAAGACACATTGTGAAAGAGAGAGCTGAGATTAATAATAAGACATGGGTAAATGAATATTGCTAGGGCTGTTTGATATAACGATATGTATCGGATGACGATATAAAAACGTCTATCGTTTCATTTTACGCTATCGTTTGTTTCGTGGTGTCGCAAAATAAACTGTTTACGGCAATATTTTTTGATCGTTTTGATGGTCACTGTAGTGGCTATATTAATTTCTTAAAGTTCTCTCTTTCTCTTATATTTGATATAACCACACTACGGACGGACAAGCACCTGTTTTTATGCGTTGTGGTTAGCAACAACGACGGTAACAGCATCGTGTGTCCGCTTGTTTATGTTCCACATAAGCCTTTCACAATAAAGCTCAAGATCCTGTTGAGACTTTTTCAAAATAAACTGAATCACGTGAAAGAGCAGATTATTTACGGATGAGAAGTAAAAAAGAGCCGCCAGGTGCTAAAAAATAAACCTTAGACTCAAACGTTAGAACAGGCTTTTCCCCGCAGCATACTCACAACGAAAACGGCGGCCGTTACAACTTATGTCTAAAAATGTATCGTTTCATGCATCGGTTAAAACACTCGACTCCAGCTATGTGAATTTTTTTTTTTTTTTTTTTTATCCTGATCGAAATATCAGATCGGCGCATCCCCCAGTCAGTAGGTCCCTAACCCTATTTATTAAATAATCTTAACTAAGTAATCTAGTCGAGATGTTACAAGTTAAGGACGCACTGATGGATATGGGCAGATAAAATGCTGTAGTGTATTGCACCAGTCATTATATTATCATTATTATTAGTAGTATCCATGGATTTTTCTTAACACAGACTAACCTAAATTGCACATCTTTGGACTGTGGAAGGAAGCCGAAGTACCTGGAGAAAACTCGTGCAGGAGTAAGGAGAACATGTAGACTGCACACATGCAGGGCAACAAGTTCAAATTAGGAACCTTCTTGCTGTGAAGCAACAGTGCACCTTCAGTGTTAGATGAATAATTGTTATTTCAAGCTTCTGCCTTAATCAAAAAATATGTAGAAAGGAGCATAATATGTCTCCTTTAAGAATTTATTCCTTTCTAAATTAACAATACCACTGCCCGCTTCCTGTTATCAGGAGGAGCTCAAATTTCAAAGTGTGGTTTCAGATTTCAGTAAAGGTTGGATGGATATTTCATGTGTGGATTCTCCTTGGTAATTCTTCTCTCCTGGGACCTGCATGTTTCCCAAAACATTGGAGACTGGAAGTGGTAAGCTGGACAGACGGGTATCCATTGTTTGCTTTGACAGATGAGAAATGACAGTCATTAGAAGTCAAAGCCTTCCCCAACCTAAATTGTCTTCTGTGTTCACTCAACAAAGCTGTGATTCATTTGAAAAAGCTTTGAGCTCTGACAAGAGATAAGTGCTCTGTCTCAGCAATTGGGTGCAGCAAGAGTCCCGACTTTTGATACGGGTCTACCTATTTAGACTATATCCGTTTTCTACATTGACATGACTTGTTGTTCTGACGAAAGGAAGCAAGATGTGCGGAAGTGTGTGCTTTCTGCAGGAAATTGAGATTTTTAAATTTTCTAGAAAGAATCATTTTATTAATTACAGAAAAAGTCAGTTTTGTTTTGCCTCATGGCTGCAGATGTATAGCTGCTCCTGGCCCTTGACGATGCATCATTTCCATATTCATTTGCCTGTATATTCACACACCGGACTAAGCAAATAAGTCTGTCACTGAAATCTACTGAAATGATTCAAATGGAATATGAGATGATTACGATGACAGAGCGTCTCGTGTTTTGTCCTCTCAGGGCACCAATGCCTCTGCTCTGGAGAAAGACATCGGCCCGGAGCAATTCCCAATCAACGAACACTACTTCGGATTGGTCAATGTGAGTATCACTAAATCCTCGCTTGCATTAACAAAAGCCATTGCCAAACAACAGTGGTGTCATTTTTCAAAACAAAATGCCACGGGACCGCAGTGAGTCATGTCCTCGACTGGTCGGCGGGTATTCGAGGTAACAATGTTGTTTGTGAGACTCTTGGCCAAACGGGGATGTTCTGTTTCCTTAATGAGACATTTATGTAAACACACAAGTTTCTCAACGCTCTAGACACTGTGTCTGCCGAATGGATAACAACAATAGAACACACTGGCGTTTTTCCACGAGCTATTAACAGATAAACTAAAAGAAATATTCGAGTCTTTGTTTTAAATCGCTTCCTCATCCTCATCACGGTTTTGTGTCGATGTCTCCCTGTGGTTTTCTCCCTCAGTTTGGAAACACATGTTACTGTAACTCAGTGCTCCAGGCTCTGTACTTCTGCCGGCCTTTCCGGGAGAATGTGCTGGCGTACAAAGCCCAGCAGAAGAAGAAAGAGAACCTGCTCACGTGCCTGGCTGACCTCTTCCACTCCATTGCCACGCAGAAGAAAAAAGTTGGCGTCATACCGCCCAAGAAATTCATCTCCCGCCTACGGAAAGAGAATGGTGAGCATACATCATAATGAAAGTTTCACAGTCGGCCTTTGTTATATCATGTGCTGGAATTGTATGAACACAGAAAAAGAATAAGAACTGTGAGGTCTACTCCATCTACAGTGGCAGGAAGTTGCACGAACCTTATATTTTGGATAATGGACCTTGTGGTAAAAAATATAAACATTTTTTTTTGTGTGTGTGTGTTTGTTTTTGTTTTTTTCCCAATTGCCAAGAATTGCATGAACACTTTATTCTTCTACATGCGTGTCCAGAAGTAATGTTGGTCAAGTATTGGACAGTGCTCAAGATCTTATTTTCAAAGTTCGCCAACCCTTTCTGCCCGAACAAGGACTACCGTCAGCCTAGTTGGAGTTTGTTCCTGGGATGAAAACCTCACTGGAGGTTTTTAGTTATTTGTCACAAAGTACTTGGCCACTTTGCATAGAAGCACCTTTTAAATATTTGCTAAGTAATTTGTCACTTTCCCAAAGCAACAAGTACCCCCATATTCTGATAACACGAAGTTTAACCCTTTATAACCGGTCTGAGCGGGCACTCTCTGTTTTGCGCAACTA